CCTTCTAACAGGAAAAGTAACTTTCGTTATCATGGAATTATAACAAAACCTGCCAATTCAATATAAATGGAAAAAAAATATTATATGGAATTGAACGAAAATGAAAATTTGCTTGATAATTCAACTACGCTTGTTGGAGAACAATAAAAACACTACACTCAACAAGCCACCAATAAAACTCAACTGCCTAACCTATAACCAAAGTCTCATTTTAATTTGTTTTTTAAAAAAAGCGCTTGACAAACTTGCCCCGCATGCCGAAGTTGCCCCTATCTCCCCTAAATACTACACGAAAATATATTTTTATTTTCATTAATTGCTATAGTCGTTTAAAAACCAGCGTAACACACTCTTTTATTAAAGACGAGAACACTACTAAATGTTGTTCTGTACACTTTAACTGAAGTGGAAGAACGAATCTCGAATGTCCGTTCGTAAATTGGGATGGAAAGTCAAGTCCAGTTGATTAATTCGTAGTCGGGTAAAAGGTCACTTCCGGGTTGCTGTGTCACATTCGGTGGTTTGTCGAAATCCGTGCAAGAAGGCTCGGCAGAAAGAGTGTTATTTTTAGCAGCAGAAACACAACCTTTTCCACCGAGGCCTTTTGCGCTCGACGGCTTCTTCCACCATTTCTTCGGACTCCTATCTGTCTACTCCCGTCTCCCGGGTCTCCACCGTTCATTCCGCAACATTGGAATATCGTCGCTCCAGATAATGGACGAGAGACGAGGCTCTGTCGTCCGGAGTTATGACGACCACCCGTTTGACGTCGGGTGTATGCGACTCCTCCTCCGCATCCTTCGGAAGCACCCGTATTACACGAGGCCAAGACGAGGCGCCATTTTCGGGCTCAGCAGGATATCTTTCTTAATAATATAAATACTGCTCAGATTAAGAATAATCCAGGCAATGAACACATATTATACATTACGTAATACATTAATTGGAAATGGAAACCGATATAACTTCTCTGAAAGTTTGTTCGTAAAGTTCACAAATTTAGCTTTGTTTAACACTAAAAATGAAAAATATGATTAACAATTGCCTGTTCGTCTACATGTGTGTTGGCAAAATCTAGTCAAAGGCTCCTTGGAGTAATGCCTAAGAATCAGAATAAGTGGTTGAGACATCAGCTTAGAACTTAGACTTAATGATCTCTCATTTTTTCGAGATTATGGCCTTCTATAATCTACCAATGAGAAAAAAACCAGACAATTTATAGAATACATTAGTTAACCTTAAATAATAACAATAAAGATCTTATACTATAAATATTAAACATTTGTACGTTACGATTATTTTCTTTTGAAACATAAAACTTTAGTATCATTATATTTAAATTTAAAAAGAAATCTATTATAATTGCACTTACTTTATTACTACTACAATAAAACCTGTCAAAAGAGGAACCTTAATAAAACGGAAACCTGACAAACCGGAAAAAATATTCGTTACTGACTGTTAAGAGTCCGGTTTACACAGGTTTTACTGTATTTTAATAAAAAAATTAATATAAACAATGTAGATCTTTAAGTAGCCTACAGCTCTGGGGACCCAGGGCAGAAAGAGGGCCTCTATTTCTGTCAAAAATAAAAAAAATTTAACTGTTCTATAATCGGAATGATTTCAAGAGAAATTCTTTTATTAGATTTGAACTGAGTTAACCTGTAATTGTGATTACGAAATATAATTATGTGTATATATTCGTTCAGTAATTGAACAATATTAACAAGATAATTAAATATTTTTAGAACATTTAAACGTCTTTCTCAAAACTATATAAATATAGTATTCTAGGTCTATGGCCTTCCAACCTTCACATATAAAAAGACGATAGATCATTGTTTGAAATTTTAAAAAATGAAGCTGAGCGAAGACTAAAATAACACTGAAAAGTTTTGTTAGAGATTTATGTATAATTAATTGACAATAAAGGAAAAAAATCTAGCAATAAGTTGCATAACTTTCCCGGCCAAAAAAATTAAAATTACGTGTGTCTCCCTCTATTATGATATTTTATTTAAAAACTTTTCATACTATTAATTATTTTAAAATGACAAAAAGCTTAAATTTGAAGGTAAAGATGATTTTTATTTAAAAAATACTGATTCGATCGAACTTAAAGAATAAAATATTCATTAAGTTCGATCGACCATACACGAGATGTGACACGTAACGCCTTCTATTTTCCTTCCCCCCCGATCTATAATCACCAAAATTTTATAGGAACAATGGGTCTAATACACAAACTTCCATGCATAATTTCAGAAATTTTGGACAAACAGCACAAGACTTATTAAGCTTCAAAGAGGGTGAACTAAATCTTGCCCCCACATCCCTACATACAAAAAAATAAATTGTCAGAGATGTAAAGAGTTCTCGATTGAGAAATTCGATTTAGCTATTTTGTTTTAACGAATTATTAGATGTTTGTTTCATAAATGTAATGAAGATTGACAATAAATAAGCTAACCTATCAGAAAATTGTATTGATCTATTATACATCATTGAAAATCAATTATAAATGTGATTGGTGCTATGTCACGTTTACAATATTTAATACTTAAAATTCCATTAAATAGATTTTATATTAAAATTCTTAATAAAATTACATTGAATTTTCTCAATTCACAATTAAATTTTTATCACATTTAATTTATTAAACGTTTTACAATTTTAAAAACGTCGAACATCAAGCTTTACCAGTTGACAAGTGAATAAACACATGTTTTCTGCAATTATTATAAATTAAAATATGAAATAAATAATTTTTTTCGTTTAAGACTAATATATATGCTTACGTTATTTTATCGTCAATACAATTAAATTTACTCTTCACTTTGATTTATTTTTAACACATCATTAATATTTTTAGTGTATCATTAACATTGATCATTTTACAATTTACTTTAATTTCTCACGTTGTAAGTTGTAATGTAATTTTTAAAACTTTTCTAAACAATCGACTGGTATTTTTATATTTAATATATTTTATAAAATTAATTTTTTAAATGCTTTTTTTTTAATGCACTTAAAGCTGAATATGAGTATTAGTTTATCGTATTGGAATGTTATTAATGGTTAAAAATTATATTTAATGCCATTTCTAGTTCAAAATTTCCTCTTTTTTTTCTGTTTATTATGCACGATCGTATCAAAAATTGTCATTATATTGTGAATTGTTGCGTTTAAAATCAATAGAAACTAGGAATGTATACTTTTCAGGTTGGCTTCAAGCAGGTGTTAAGGTAAAAGTTCTGTCTTACGGCAGTTGTTAAGGTAAAAGTTTTGTCTTACAGCAGTTGTTAAGGTAAAAGTTCTGTCTTACAGCAGGTGATGTCGGTGTGAGTGCTGGGGCTCCTGCAGCATACAGGCCTGTAAGTTATATACTAGTCTTATTACGTGAGCTGGTAGTATCATTAAGTACTAACCTCACATGTACAAGCTTTGCCCCC